CCTTCTTGAGCGGATCGTTGAGCTAGAAAATGTTAAGGTGCTACGTGGTCCTGATGGATCTAAATCGAAACACCCGAACAACGCTGGTCAAAAATTTACTGCCTACCTTCCCGGCACTAGCAGCCTCAGCTGTGTAGGTCACGTGAAGTAAGAAAGCCGGATAGACAAAAGGATGTTAAAGAGGAATGAAAGTCAGTTTAATGAATGATAGCACTAAAGTGAAGAGAACGACAGCATATGAACACAAATTTGGAATATGGCTATGGTCCGGAAAAGGCAAAGGTTCCATGTCGCCACCCAGGAACGTCTAACTGACGCTGGACATCCTAAACCGTAGTGGCACTGACTACACTTAGTGGGAACGGCTGCCAGCGTTCAATACCTCTACCCTGAAACCTAGTTTCCTCCCTGATCCGGTCGGAGCACGGCTTGTGTAGCTTCATTGGATGACCGCGGAGACAACGCAACCTATCCGGGTTAACCGGCCAGCTCATGTCCGGTTAAACTTCTGTTAAAATGTGGCAATTACGGATTAGGTCTCCTCGAAGCCGTCAGGAGGCTATTGAATATATACCAATGCTAAGTAGACGCTCAGAGTACGATGGCCCTCGTACTCCCTCGACCAAATTTTACCTACATTGAAAACCCCTCGAGCTCCATATTGTCCAGAGCAAGGCAGTGCGCGCAAGCCTGGATGGAGTATTCCAGATAAGGCCAAACGAAACCAGAGAAAAGCTTTAGAAATATGTCGGCAGTTGAGACCTCGAAAGGACGACGTATAAACCAAAACATTCTGAAACCCTACTTGCAGGCTTCTTCCAGTTGTCACCAGCATGCACAGGCGAGGAATGGACGATGACGATGTGTACCTGGTTGGATGCGACGGGGAGTTCGACCCCACCGAGCACTTACTCGGAAGGTGGAAAAGTTGCTCCTATGCGAACACTTAGGCTGATTTATGGTCCGTAGCCACAAAGTAGACCACTCACAGATTCTGTCCAGAACTGCTGAAGGGCCTCAGGAGCCCCAGGGACGTTTAAAACATTCCATAGCATAAGACCAACACCAAAAGATAGGGATGATAGCCCAAGCTCCCCACGGAGATCGTTTACGCAGCTAGAGAACAGTATCGCTCCAAAGACACAAGCCTCGAGGGACACAGCTAAGGACTGCTTGCCCAAAGGATAAGCTTCGACCCACACATGCGCACTATTCTCTTCCCTGCAAGAGCGCAGCAACCAAGTGGAGGGCGTGGTCAGGTATGTCGTTGGAGCTCAGCTTTTATGATAGCCTCAAGTGGGGTACCTTATCCAATGCTTTCTCTAAGTCGATGAAAAGCACATCCACTTGGGGGCAATTGTCCTCTGCCTCGGCCCAACCTTCACGAGCGACCAAAAATTACTCAGACAATAATACCCCTTCCCGAATCCGTGTCGTGCACTACTGATTGCCTAAAATCCCTTCATCTGAACATCCAACTAATCTTCCACCATCTTTTCAAGCGGTTTAATCACGACGCTAGCCAGACTGTCTGGTCTGTACCTGGCTGACGGATTCCTGTCGCCATTTTTGGAGATAGGACAGATGACAGCCTCCTTCCATTCAGAAGGTAATCTACAGCGAGTAGGCGACTTCTAAGACACCATCGTCAGCGGTCCACTTAGTTCTACCGTCAACGAATGTCAAAGCTTCGGGCGAGTTGAAGCAGCTCCAGCTGCTTTGGAAGGGTTCAGTACTTGCAGCCTAAGGACTTCGTTTTCAGCACGGTAAATTCAGCCAACTTGGAAACCACAGGTACTCGGTGAACAAGTTTAATACGACCTCACGCACACAAGCCGCTGTATACCGCTCACCAAGTACACAGGCCGTGTCCGAGACCGCATACGCATGATTTCCATGGGCCAGTAACAAAGTTGGAATTAACGGCTTTGAACTACCTCCTTCAATACTAAAAGCGAAGAACTACGTCCGATTTTCCGAAGCTCCATCAGCCAATTCATCCTAGTACAACAGCAGCGCTTTCCGCATGTGTTGCTTAAATCTAGTTCCAGCCTCCCGGTACCTATCATAGGTGCTAGTTGATGGAGCCGCACGGTAGGTCCTCCAACACCTAGAACGTTTCCAGCGCAGGTACTTACTAGTGGCATCTATCCACGAGGGCCGTGCACATGTCCCCTTTCTTCTCGCAAGCGGGCTGTAAGGAGTAGACACATCCGTGAGATAAGACTTAAAGCTACCCAGGCTGCCTGAATCAACTCGGACACCGAGATTTAGCAAGGCAAACCAGAATCCTTGATTTGCATTGTCAGATGGTTAGCACTCCATGGGTTTAAATATGGCTCAGCGTTGTTCCAGTGACTTCTGGTCAGAGTACGCATGATTGATAAACAGATATGATCACAGGCACCGCAGAGAGACATGGAAGTGATGCCCCTACGAAACCAAGCAACTTGTAAAAAACCAGATCAAAACTAGACGGTAGTTTGGCATCCATGCACCTAGTGAGGAGGTTCACAAACTGATATATTGGTACTCGTAGAGTAAGCTCAAAAAGCTCTGCACCGTACGTGCGGCTGGCTAGCCGAACAACCTCCTCGTGGTGTCAGCTGGGTGGTTCGGGTTTAACCCGTTCCAGCAAATAGTTCGGCGGCAGTGTTCCAGGACGTGGTGGGTTCCGCCTGGCACGCGTTCTCCCTATAAAAGCCGCAAATGTCTGCTTAACAACACTGTGACGTGGAGGTCGTGACTCGACACAAAATAAAGTCACTCCCCCGTGGTTATCCGGATAATTCGCTCCAACCCACGGACACCAATCTCCTACTCGCATATTGATGACAATATCAAACATTGAAGATTGGAGCAGCACAACTACAAGCACAAAGTACACAGCCACATACACATACACACAATGGCATACAAACATACCCCATACACAAACACAAACTGCTATGGCAAAAATATCGGAGTTTTGCACATCCTTGAGCATGCATCGTTATGTCAAAATGATCATGCCTGTAAAGGCTTGCCTTACCTTCTTGAGAATAAAAGAGTTATTTATTTATTTATTTACCTTCCGCCGAGTTACAAGAAAGATCTGCCCAGCAAATGTCCGGTACAATGAAGTACCCCGTAAAAACACCGGTCGTAGCTCCGTCGGTGGTGGTTAGCACTTTCCCGGCTCAGATTACAGTGGAACTCGGCAGTGGCACTCGGCCCATTATGCTTTAATTGGTACAGTGTTATATATATATATATATATATATATATATATATATATATATATATATATAACGCAAAAGGTCAAGTCCACAGCTGACGTAAAGAACAATGCTCTTATCTTATCGGTCAACGAAGCGATCACACCGAAATAGTGAGCAGGCAGACAGATGTACGTCACTGTCCTTGATGTCCTGAGACAGACATGTATCAGTGAATGCAAGCATATCAGGATGAAATCCATCTACAAGCAGATCTTAGGCTGCGCACATTGCTTAGCACTATCTGAAGGCGCTCGTTATGACTAACTCTGGGTCGTGTGCTACCAGGACTGGTGCTGGTACGGCGGGAAAGGTCCGCCGGCTAACCACCCGAAACCACACCCACCGGAGACCATGCCCAACGCCCGTTTGCCTTGTTTTGAGTTCCTTTATTGCCTCCTTTAGTTTCAGCCTATCCGCTAGCGGGAAGTCTGGCTGAACGCTAGAATTAGTACCATTCAGTATTGATTGGCTACTCATTGGTCTACCACTATTGTTCGCCATGATGCCGCACAAGAACCATCGTTTTCCAAATGGTTACTTAGATGCTCCACCTCATTAACTGGCTGCGCCTGACTACCATACCTCAGATGACATAGCTAACGCCTGGTAATGCGAATAGCGTATTTCGTAAACATGAAAGTTCTGCTCTCACGTGTCTGAGGAAACGAGTTCATCAATTTTAAAACCGCGGCCTCCTGTACCGCATTAAGCCGCTGACGAAACGGATACAGCCTGGGTTTTCATCAACTGGAACACGTGCGAATACCTCAAGCAGGCCAATTTCATACTACCCTCCCTTCAGCACCATATAAAATTGGGGCCTTACGGTTGTAGCACCTGCAACCAAAAATTCTATCAGCAGACAAGATTATCATGCATCTTACCGTTTCCCTTCACATTCTTACGCTTGTTGTGCAGACGTCCATACTGAATGGATCGATGACGAAAACTTTGGGTGTTCGCCTGGCAAGCTTTCTCCCTATAAAAAGCTACAAATGTCTGTTTAACGACACTGCGACGTGGCGGATGTGACTCGCCACTGAATAAAGTCACTGCCCACAACTACATACTGGCAAGTCGACTAGACTCACATATCAACTCTTCCCGACACCGTCTCAACTATACACGATTGAACCCGATGTATCGTCGCGATACACATCTGTTTTTAAACCTTGATCATGCCTGAGCTTGTGTGTCTCTATGAAAGTGAGAATAAACTATTTATTTATTTATTTATTGTACATTTCCAATCATGGACATATGAACGATTTTCTACTGTCACTGTTACAGTTGCCATAAAATGTTTGTACAGTTGTACATATCTGATCATGCCTCCATGGGCATGCCCCGCATAGTCGAGAATAAAATATTTAGTTATTTATCAGGGAGATCTTTTCCCGTCTTTGTTTATGACCCGTCACCGTAATCACCGTGCATTCATCATAAGAACTCGTAGTTTCTCTTTGAAACCGCAGCAAATATCTTTGTAACTCCTCAATTGCCTCGTGCGCACCATTTATCATGCAACGAAAAGTAGCGGTATCATTCTGCATGGCGGAAGGCACGAAAAGCGCCAAATCGTACAAGCTAACTAACATACAAACAAACCACCTACACCGGTTATTCCTTGACTACCAGGTATATTGACATTACACTTATCTTGCCCTTATCGTAAACATGACTAGGCAAACACTAACCTACGTAAGCATGTTTACACTGGCTGTACCAGGCAACTGTCACGGATAATACTTTCATCTCCTATTGTTTGAAGGTCGCTCCGGAGAAATAGGTCACGGCCTTCGGAGTACAGTATTCCCACTCGTGATGATTTCCACGCTGCTGCTCCTGTTCACGGTTTTCTGTGGCGCCTCCATTAGCATTCCCTCAAGTATCCCTTGGCAAGACCTGATTCCGGCTTTAAAAGTCAGTTTTCGCAATGAAAACACAGGAGGAGCGCCCGAAGCATCTGTGAATGAAACTCTGGATGTCTGTATTAGTGCTGCATGGGAAATATATAAGCTCCATTTTAAGAGGAATTTCACTGGAAGACTGGAGCATAATGATCGGTTCAATAGTTTCCGAAACAATTTTATTATGATGATGGAACATAATCGTGCCTTTGCAGATGGCCGCGTCTCCTACCAGATGGGTTTAAACGAATTTTCTGATAAGGTTAGATTTCTTTCATCAAATCTATTTTCAGAGTATTGACCAATTACACAGGCTAAGAGGATTTAAACTGCATCGTAATTTTACCTCTAGAGGTTCTACCTATCTGACAGTATCGACCGCACTCCCGAAGTCTGTTGATTGGCGCACCGTCGGGGCTGTCACTGAAGTAAAAAACCAGGGCAACTGCGGGTCTTGTTGGGCATTTTCTGCTACTGGAGCAGTTGAAGGTCAGCACTACAGAAAGACAAACCACTTGGTTAGTCTCTCCGAACAGCAACTTGTGGACTGCAGCACCGACGGGAATAACGGTTGTAACGGTGGCTCGATGGATGCTGCATTCATCTACGTCGAGAATGCTGGGGGTCTAAATTCAGAGAAAAGATATCCTTATGTTTCGGGAACAACAAGCGAACCAAATCCCAGCTGCCTGTTTGACAAGCATGGTATTGTATCCAAAGTCACTGGTTATGTCGACATTCCAAATCGTAACGAAGCGGCTCTTATGCAAGCAGTCGCTCTTCATGGACCCATCTCAGTGGCAATTAACGCTGGTCTACCCACATTTCCAGCCTACCACTCAGGTACTCTTCTGCTTTTCTGTTCCCACGTTACTTGTCTCTCCTTCTTTAGTGCTGCGCTCGCTCTCCCATCACCTGAGTACCACCAAATAGCAGTATTATCCGGTTATGCTAGAATCGTTGGTGGATTATGTGCATGCCTATTGGACCTTCTTCCGATGTGCTTATTCTTCCAGCTAAAGGTGTCACAATGCGAATTAGATTTCTGTTGTTTTATTAGTCGTACAGTTTCGCTGCAGCTCGCTCAACTTTGTAATCAGCTTTGTAACAGCGACACCCCACAACTGCGTGTCTTCAAAGATCCCAATAGTAGTTTACAGTTTCGGTGCTTGGCAGGTGCCCGTCAGGTAAACTCGTGCTATTCAATCTAACTACAGTTTTTGCCAATCCAACACGTCTGTCAATGACGAGCATCAACTAGTTATGTTATTACCTAAAAACGGAATAGTTTTTTTAATTTCAGAAAACCATTTTCACTATTGCCGTTGCATATCGAAAGACATCTTAGGAATCTAATTTCACCAACGCTTGAGTCGCACTTTTAGCTTAGATAACCACTAGTGTTGCTAATTACATGCAATCCGCCTTGATTATGCCTGCACTAGCGTGTTGTAAAAATGGACACATATCCCTCTTCTCTGCTGCCAATTTGGGGGTTAATTTGAAAGCTACGGGAAGCCTAACTGATTTGCCTGCAATTGTTTCCCACTTCATCTTGAGTTTGTTACCAAACTAATCGCGAATGACTCCATGTATGTCATGTTCTGTTAAAAATTACGAACTTAGAGAACCTAGACAGCGGTGTTATACTTGTGTATGAAGTATTACATTTTATTGATTCTGATTGGACTAACGCGACGAACTACACTTTCATCGTCTGTATTGCACCGGTTGACATATTTTGGGGCACTCATCCCTAGTGACCAAATGTTTATCATATCTGGTGGCTTTACGGTCTCTTGTTCAGTTATTGAACACATCTAGCACATCTTATACCTGCTCCGTCGCAACGGGACTGGACCTTTAACATAGCGCGACGGTTTACGTACTTGACCCATTGAGCTCTACTGGTGTTAGCTCTGGGCACTTTGAGAGCTACTCCTACAAGCTTGGTCAATGGTAAGAGGTCAGACAAATTCAGTCTCCTGTTTCTCCACGAGGGTTGAAATGGGATGACTTCCATTTCTGTAAAACTAAATCATTGCCACCTTCCCGCTGCCTTGCGGACAGGCTTTTGAGCCTTAGGCTTTGGATGAGGGCCCTAATCGCCCTCCTGTCTGCGTCTGGGCGCGTTGGCAGTATCTTAGCCCACATACAACCGTGACATTTTCTTCCAACACAAACTTCATCCTGCATCGGCCGTCGCGCAGATTACCAAGGGTCGCCTTATCTGCTGCATACAGCAGAGCGGATAAGCGAAAACATGCTACTGCTGGCGCCTCCCTTCTTTCTTTTCTACCTTTTTCTCTTACTCCCTTCCCGACCCCCATTACTAACCTTCCTTCTATAATTCCCAGCTTAATTGACAGAAACCGAAGTGCCACTAGAGTAGACCAATCTGAAGCCACCATCCCACAGCACCTATCGCACGCCTATCGACAAAAGTCCCTTGTATGTCCACACTATCCCGTTTCCATGGCGACATTCAACTTCCGCACTCTAAGACAAACAGGTCAACAGGCTGCACTCGCACGCACCTCGGACACACTGGGTATTGATGTGTGTTGTATGTCCGAAACTAGGATCAATGATCCTCATGGGGTTATTGAATTAACTGCATTCAGCTTCTCCTCTCGTTATTGGTTGCACACATCCGGAGACGCGGATGCAGCACTCACGAGTCAAGCTGGTGTAGGTATCATTCTAAACTCCAAGGCTGAACCATCGTTGGGTGATTGGATTCCGGTGAATAGCCGTTTATGTGCAGCCCGTTTGACGACATCAGCTAAAGTAGATTCACGAAGCAACACAAAACGCTGTTTGTGATTTCCGTCTGTACTCCCACTGACTGCAGTTCTAATGCTGTCAAAGACACATTCTATCACGAACTGAACGCGCTACTACTCATTGCTACTAGTTCAGATATTATAGTACTTGCAGGGGATATAAACGCACAAGTAGGGCGTTTGAGCTCTTCCGAAGCTCAGCTGGGGATAATTACTCCGGACTGATAACGGTGAGCGTCTGCTGCAACTGTGTGTGGAGCACCGGTTGTTTCTTAGTAGCACTGCGTTTAGACACAGTGGGCGCCGAAATGCTACTTGGCGTCCTGTAGCTGTCCAGCGATTGACCTAAATTGGCCACAACCATAAGTTATAGATGGCGGTATTCCATCCCGGATTGCTGCTCGTACTGGATTATTTGCGTCGACTCTGATCATGCATTGGTACTCTGTCGTTTTTCGATGAACTTTATCGGGAGGCGCACCAAGCGTCTCCTATTGGAAACAGAAATTGTCTCAGTCCTCGGTCAGGCAAGCCTATCAAGAAGCACTGCATGTCGAACTTATGTTGTCTTGTCCTAATGACATTGCGCTTCAGTGGAATAGGATCTCGGCCGCCATGCACGACGTAGAAGTATCTGCTTGTGGCACTATCCATTGGCACCGCACAAGTCACTGGATATCCGGGAGGTCAGTGAACCTGTTAGAATCTAGAAGAAACCTCCCGGCTGTCTCTGAACACAATGTGACCAGACTGGTTATTATTCGCGATCTAAAGCGGAACCTACGTCCTGACAAGGAAGCTTGGTGTACCAGTAGAGCTCAAGAAATGGAGGAGGCAGGAGCAGTAGGCAATTCCTGCAAGCTCTTCCAGCTAGTCCGCACCACTGGTTTCAGAAAACTCAACGTCAGTAAGACAATCAGACAGCGCGGGTGCACTGATACACAATAAGGAGCGCCGTATGGCTCGTTGGGCAGAACACTTTCAAGATCAGTTCAGGTGACCCCCTGTTCCCGGACCTCTTCCTACTCAGCTGATGCAGGACGAGCCATGGACAGTTGGTTTAGAGCCTCCGTCGGAGGCTGAGGACCGAAACGCGATCACAGCCCTCAATCGTTTTCCTGCCTCTAGCCCAGATTCCCTCTCACTTGCACTACTTAACGATGGAGGTAAGGTTTTCTGCAAAACACTGACCTCCCTATTCGAACGTATCTGGAAGGAAGTGTCCCGGTTAATCGGAGCGAATCGATTATAGTGGCAATATACAAGAAGGGCAGTCGCACAGACTGTTCTAACCACAGGGGTATTAGCCTAACGCCAGCTGAGACAAAACTGCTAGCCTCGATTCTCATTCTCGGACTAGGGAAGAGCAGACAGGTTTCCGCTCAGGACGTGACTGTATAGATCATATATTCACTTTGCGACAGTTGTAGTGTAGCGCCACGCATACCGCAGACCGACAGTAGCTATCTTCCTCGATTTCAAGAGTGCGTTCGATTCAGTCGATCGATCGATTCAGTTCGAAATGCTTGCGCGGAAAGGTGTTCCCACGAAATATGTGAATATCCTTCTGGCTCTATACTCGAACACTACAGGCCGCTTTGGAGTCTACGGTGGCCAATCGTATAACTTTTCGACCACAAGTGGCGTTCGTCAGGGATGTCCGATTTCCCCACTTTTGTTCAATTTCGTCGTGCATCCTATCATGGAGTGTTCCCTTGCGAAATCGTAAGATGTAGGTGTTAAAGTGCTGTCTGGTGAAAGGTTATTTGATCTATATTATGCAAACGATATCGTCTTGCTTTTCGACGATGTTGGGGCGGTTCAATCAGCCCTGAATAGCCTGTCCAGAGTGGTCCCATTATTTGGTATGAACTTCGCACCTTCAAAGTGCAAAGTGTTGCTGCGGGACCAGCAGCTACTTTATGACCCTTTGACGCTTGCTAACGAGGAACTCGAGGTGTTTGATCAATTCACTTATCTTGGCAGCCGCATCAGCAATGATGGGCGCATAGAAACTGACGTGAGCTCACGCATTGCAAAGGCCAGAGCTGCCTTCTTGAACCTGCGTCATCTTTGGCGACAGAGGGGAGTTTCCCTCCGTCTGAAAGGCCGTGGATACAATGCCACAGTGAGGGCCGTTCTGCTCTATGGTAGTGAGACTTGCTCCCTTCGATCTGAAGATCTAAAGCGCCTTCAAGTCTTTCTACATCGTTGTCTGCGCAGCATTGCTGGTGTCGGATGACACCAGCATGTCCGCAATGATGATGTGCGTAGGCGAGTACTAGGTGGTGATAATCATGCTAGCTCCCTAGAACAACAGATAGCACTGAATAAGTTGCGTTGGCTCGGGCACGTGCTACGCATGCCTGGTCACCGCTTACCTAGGAGGTCCTTGTTTAGTCTGCTAGACGTAGGATGGCGCAAGGTTCGAGGTGGACAGAAGTTGACTTAACAGCGGGAAATAAAGTCACTGACGACCAAACTGGGTGCCGTTGGTCCGTCTCGCCTTCCTGACTGGAGTCCACTTGACCGGCCTTGTGCTCGGCTCGAGACTTTACAGGACATGGCTCGCAATCGACACCAGTGGTGCGTCTGCTACCGTCTCGTAATCGGATTGGCTGTTTAAAGTGTGTTTGGTGCTGAGTTATCTGCGGGGTAATGGCTTATTATGACGCGTGGCAGTGGAAGCCGCAAGGAAGTTGTCACGCCGATACCGCCTTATCTTTGCACGATAGCCAGTTGTTTGTGACGGTATGCTATCTACACAAAGGGTATTGAGGTTTTCAGGTAAGTCCGCCTTTTCTCCCTCTACTTATTCTGTTTCATATGTCCTCATGGTTGTATGGCAGCGATGCATCAGTTCAAATGACTGATGTACTGCTGTTGTTGATGATACTGATGATGGTGATGATGATGATGATGATGGATGATGATCTACCTGCTCCGGTCACCCTTAAAGGCAACGTATATCTTCTTCTTGACCACGGGCGCGCTATACACTGATGAGCAACAGTCATCGGTGCCGGTGAATATTGCTCTTATCAGATTGACTAACCCGTGTCTTGTCAACTCTTCCGGTTTTATTTTTAATGGATTCTCAATCAAGTAGCTGGATCGCATTTGAACCTTAGAAAACGTGCGCACGCCTGTTAGCCATATGTCTACTTGTTTTGTTTGCCGTCACTACAAATGGTTTGGCAGTGCCCATAGGAACGTTACATAGAACTTAACGAAAT